AATGTTTTGCTGATCAGTTCTATTTTTTGACTATAGAGTTTTTAAGCATTGCAATGGAGATTTCACCTGTAAAAAGTTATAAGGCCTTTACTATAATGTTATGTGTTGTATGTATTATATTATGTGTGCACACTTGTGTTTTGTGTTATATGTTTGAATGTACGTATGTCCATATATCATATATGATGAGCGCTCATGATAAAATGGATCCAAATTTTTTTTTTTCACGTGATTTATATGGTTTAATTTAAATTGGGTAAACAACTGTTGAGGATTGTTTTAATATGTAAACAAAAAAGAAGGTTAACAGATCTGTTTGTTTACTTTCACCTTTCCTTTTCATTATATTTAATAATTCTCTTAAAGATAATGTAAATTGTTAAGAAAATTGTTTTCTTTTAGTGCCTTCTGGAATGTTACATAATTTTTTCTTTAGCCATTATTGCCAGAATTCCTATTTTCATCCCAGTGCTGGTGAAGTCAAAGATAAAACCAATCTACAGCTTCTACAATAGCCATCACTGAACTGCTTGCAGAACTTGCCTGGACACATTGTGAGCTCACCTGTATGCATTGTGAACTATCTGTTGGTGCAGCGACTTATGGTAGTGTTGGGGTATTTTTGCTGATGATGTCACCGGTGGTACAATTTTTCAAAGGAGCCCTCAATTGGCTTAATGTCATGGCATTTTGCATCCTCCTCTACTAGTGATGGTCTAAAATTTGGGGGTCAACAGAGGTGAGGCAAAGAACCTCACCCCCCCACAGGTGCAAAGGCCTATCCACAAGTATGGCTGTATGCTGGACCGGTAGTCAGTGACGGGTATGATCCAATTGCAGTGGTACCAACCTAAGACAGGAGGCTGACGCCTAGAGGTCAGTTCATCCGATGACGGGTAAGGACCATATGTTGAATTGGACTGCCTAACAGGCACGGTCCCTAAGCCACATGCTTGTTGTTTAAACAGAGAGGGGGAGATGTTGAGAGCCACAGCCAAAGGGGCCCCAGCAAACTTCCAGCTGCCAGCAAACTTCCAGCTGCTGGCTGATGATTGGCTCACAGCGGCCCCAGCAACATCTAGCTGATTGGCTCCTCGGCCCCAGCAACATCTAGCTGATTGGCTCCTCTGCGGTGATGCTCATTGGACTGTTTCCCTGCCCTTTCAGACCACGGAGCTGCTCATTGGGGGACTTTTTTGGCTCCGCCCACGTGACCCAGCCAATCGGCCTCAAGAGCAGGAGGATTGTGGGAGGTGGGGAGAAGCTTGTGTGGGAGAGAGAGGCTTGTGGAAAGCCGGTGGTGGCAGTTGAGGCTCTGAGGGTTTTTCCTGAGAGACTATTTTGTTTGTCGTGTGTGGTTCTAAAAATAAAGTTAGTTTCTTTTGACAAGTGGCTCCTGATTGTGCCCAGCCAGACTGCGGCACAACACCTAAAAACCCCCATGCACCCAAGAGTATTCCACAGATTATCCATTTCCCCAGTAATCTTCTTTGCAACCCTCACTTTTCTGACACTTTGTCTTCTCACGTTTCCATGTTTCAACCCAGAGTGGTGTATCTTAAGGAATACTGATGTATCCTAAGGAATACTGATGTATCGTCTCAACATATTTTTCTCAGTTAATGCATTCACTTGACTTTGTCTTTATGACAGTTGTTACATTTGTAATTTTTATTATTGGTGAGATCATTTGGTTACATTTTACTATGGTTTGGATGTGGTTGTGATTTATCCCCCTGGGATTCAATTGGAAGCTAGGACCCTAATATGGTGGTGGGAATTTTTAATGGTGGCAGAGCATAGTGGAGTATGGTTAGGTCACCAGGGCTGCCCTCTCAGAGACTTAACAGTCAAGGGATCCCCATTAGTTCTTGTGAGAGCAAGCCTGGCCCCTCCTCACTCTCTGGCTTCCCACTTGGTGTTTCCTCTCACAAGTGCTCCTGCCATTGTAGTACTGTTCACCCCAAGGCACTTAGGAGAGCCAGGCTGATGCCAGTGCCTCATCTCTGAGCCTCCCAAACTGTGAGTCAAATAGCTTCTTTTCCACATAAAATACACAGCTTCAGGTATTTTTCATAGCAACAGAAAATAGACTAATTTAGTACTTATCTATTTCATCAGCTTTGAGATCTGTGAAGGTCATTTTTGCTCTGTGCTGTATTATCTTGGTGTTTGAAATGCCACAGGAAGCTTTCAATAAATATTTTGTTGAAAAAATAAATAATAGAAAGAACAGAAATGGCAATCATGCCTGCCTGACGTTTCAATATTTTTATTCTCACTAAAATATTGAAAACATAAATTGTTTCCACATAATTCAAATAAAACAATAGTTTACCTCTCAGGAAATAGCTTATATAGAATCAGGATAAGTGGCCCAATTAATTAATAATAAATTTGCAATTTATTTTGAATTGTCTGAGCAATGGTAGCCATACAAGAGTCTTTTATTAGTCTTATAAAAGCAACTGTATAAATATTCAAATTGCATTTATAAACTTCTAGGGCACAAAAAGTAAAAGATTACAATAGAATTGGGGAATATTTATTTTAGTACTACAATAAAATTTATTGACAAGTGTTGTGCTTGGCTGGGAAATATATATTGATATACTGTGATAAATACTGTGTGGGTTATCATCAACAGCAGTGGCAAGATAGCTTGCAATTCATGTTTGATTTTGTTTTTAATATTACACATAAAAGTTTTTGGATTCAAAAGCATAATACTACTTCTGATTCTTTGGGAAGTTAGCAACATTACATATTTTTTTTCTATTCCACAATTCTTTACATGAATGGTTATATTCAAAAGCTATAAATAGTAACTATATGGATTTTTAAGACTGGCACAACTAATTTAGAATTCCTCTTGTCATTATGACTATTTTATTTAATCACTTTAAACTCAATTTTCTTTTCTGTAAAATAAAAATATTATCTACTTGATAATATTACTCTAGGTACTAAATGTATAAAATGGCCCTGGTTAGCAGTCAAAAATTGTTTCTTGTAATATCTTCACCAACATAAGCACCAAGACGTGAATTTTAAATAGTTTTCCATTTAACTGTTCATTATATTTTCTTTATATGGTTCATTTTGTTCTCCTAAACCAAGGTTTTATTTTATAGTTTTTATTTTTCTACTTTTTTTATTAAGATTTACTTGACACACAAAAATTGTACCTACTTAACATATACATTCCAACGAGTTTGAACAAGCATATACAGCTATGATATAATCACAATAAGCAAGATATTAAATATATCCATTGCGGCCAAAGCTTTCTTTGTGTTATGATCTGGGAGAGCTGTTTTGTTTTATTTTGTTTATGCAGTAACAACATATCTGTTAACATAAAATCTATCCTCTGAACAAATTTTAAACTATACCACTTGAAAATTAAGGTACTGTATTGTATAGCAAATCTCCAGAGCTGTTTTCTGTCTTGCAAAACTGAAAGTTTACACCCTATGCAACAATTTCTCATTGTCTTCTGCTACCCACTGCCAATTACCGTTCTACTCTCTGCTTCCCTGGAATTTGACTATTTTTAGGTACCTCAGATATGTGGAATCCTCCAGCTCAGTGAAATAAGCCAATCACAGAAGAGCAAATTTTTTTTATGTCTGATTCATGTTTGCCTATTAGCCATCAAACATAATGAATAAAGAATATTACGGTAGGAAAATTGTAACTAAAGTCAATATTAATAATAATGTAAACATAATTTCCAATATTGCTACTAAAAACCTAATAGTAATGGGCTGGGGCCATAACTCAGTGGCAGAGCGATTGCCTAGCATGTGTGAAGCACTGGATTTGATCCTTAGCATTGCATAAAAATAAACATATAAAAAGTTCTAATAGTTACACAAAGAGAAATAAACAAACTGGTAAATTATATTATCCTTATTTTGAAATAATTTTTCTTAAGTTTAAAATATTTTAGGCTAAGCAATAATCATTCTTTGACAGAAATATCATCTTTGGAAATTTTATGTATTTTAAAATGTCTGTGAAAAACACAAAATAGCCAACAGTGTAATGCTTTATTGATATAAATATTAAATTTTAACATAATATATTATTTTCTTCTTTAAACATTAGCCAAATTTGCACTTAGCCATATGGTATCCAATTTAAAACTGAAAATTATTTCTCTGAGATACATCATTTTCTTTTTTTACCGAGGGAATAAGATTTGACCTTTCTTAAGAATTCATAGTTCCCAATTTCCCATGATTCACTGACAGTCATATGTAAGTGTACTCTGTTGAGCCTCAAATGTATTTTCCCATTTATAACTATGTTTTCCAGTTACATAGTTGTAATGGCACTAGGTTAGATACCAGAAAGATTTACACAACGCAGTGTGAGTCCAATTTGTTGGGTAACAGGAAATCATGGCCTCAATCAAATTTGATTTATCCATCATACCTGAATCCTGAATTTGTCTCCTGCTACTTTTAAATGACTATGTTGACCACATTTTTTATTGTAGTTCTTCATCTTTGTCAATTATATAGGTACCATCCATATTACTTTGTCAAAATTTTTTAAGAAGATAAAGAGACAGAAAAGAAATGAAGACTTTGAGGAGAGGAACTAGTATTTTTAAGCACCTATTATGTGCCTTTTCAATTCAATTCAACACACGTTTATGAATTTTGATGATGTGGTAGGCACAGCACCAAACAATCAATATTCTTCACTTATATTATTTCTATTGATCTTACTGAACCCTAAGTGGGTGTTCTTATTTCTATTTTAAAAATAATGAAGCTGAGGTTTAAAAAGGTTAAGCAACTGTCAGAATAGGATTTGAACCTAGATCTGCCTGGTTCCTCAGACTACCGCCTTTGTACAACCCAAATCTTCATCAACTCATTTACCAGAACAGAGATAATTGCATCTATAGAAATACCTTTGAAGTTAATTTTTAAACTCCAACATCAAAAGAATCAACAAAACATTCTTTTTTTTTTTCCATATAGGTATATGGCCATTATTGACCCCTTGAAACCCAGACTGTCTGCCACAGCTACCAGGATTGTCATTGGAAGTATTTGGATTCTGGCATTTCTACTTGCCTTTCCTCAGTGTCTTTATTCCAAAATCAAAGTCATGCCCAGCCGCACTCTTTGCTACGTTCAATGGCCAGAAGGTCCCAAACAACATTTCACGTAAGTTAATTCTCTCTAATGATTTTCAATTCAATTTATCAGACACTTAGGGAAACAGTGGTTTGGAGCAGAAATTAATAAGACATAGATGTTTGTCTCAGGGCTCACTTACTACTTGGAATAAAAAAAAACATAAAATTATTATAAGACAGTGTGATGTGGTCAGAAAGTCTGTATAAGTTACAAAGGTTTTAATTGGAAACGTGATGACTTCCATATGGGACAGCACGGGAGAGTTTCCTGGAGTCAGTGATAACAAATGAAAGAACCTTGCCAAGGAAAGCAGGGTTGTTATTGATTGAGAAGTTCGAACAGAGGAACCAAAGCCCGAATGTGTTGATTGCTCTTTTAGGGAGCCTGGCAGAAGGGAAGGGAGGTCCTGGCAGGTCCTCTAAGTTTGCCTTGGCTTGATTTGGTCTTGTTCATTTGTTTCAGCATTAAGAAACCCGAGCACTGGGTCAGAAAGGAAATAGGAATGGTGTAAGCTAGAATTTGGCATTTTGTACTTTGGATCCACCTAAAGAAAAGCAAAAGGGAAAAATAGCATAATCATACACTTGATTATATTTATTGTATCTTGATTATATTTGTTATTCTGATCATTTGAATTTTATTACAATAAAATGCTTATTTTCCTACTTTTAATAACCTATTTTTTTCTTTAAAACTAAGAAATGATTCAAATAATGGTCATCTTTTAAGCAGTCGTTTTAATCTAGAATTTTTAAGAAAAAAAAATATTAGCTGGCACTAGTAAAGCAGAATCAGGCAGCAGTTATTAAACTGAATGCTGTATTCTGTTCATTATAATTAATAAATCTTAATTGTATAACATTATCATCCTTGAATTATTTACTCACTGAATTACTTCTCCATTGACTTTTTCCCAAGATTTTCCTCTTTTACTTGAAGAAATAATACAGAATTAAAACTGCCAAAGAAGTTAAATACAATATATATTCACACACACACACACACACACACACACACACACCAAATCCAGAAATTTGCAAAGATGAAATACATGTAAAATTAAGGTAGTTGTCATCTGAAACATTAAAAAAATAGAAACATATGATAATGGATGCTACTATTTAAAGTCATACTGGAGGGGGAAAAACATTTAGGGACAGATACACCACAAGGAACAGGTTTGACATCATCAGTGTAATAAATTCATAAAGCTATAGTATAACTAGTTAATCAATTTAAGAATTGTTCCCAGCTGGGAGCCATGGTACATGCCTGTAATCCTAGCAGCTTGGGAGGCTGATGTAGGAGGATTGTGAGTTCAAAGATAGCCTCAACAAAACTGAGGCACTAAGCAAATCAGTGAGACTCTGTCTCTAAACAAAATACGAAATAGGACTGGGGATGTGCCTCAGTGGTTGAGTGCTTCTGAGTTCAATCCCCAGTACCAAAAAAAAAAAAAAAGAATTGTTCCCAAATATGTTACATTTCGGCCCTCAACCCTTTTCATTTCTACAGACTTCAACTATTCTAAATTTCTAGCTATTGAGAGGGAAAGAATGATTATAAGCTTTCCACAGAGTTACAAAATATACATAGACAGGAGATCGGCTATCACCAGTCTTTTCTCACCACCAGTCCTTAATTTTTCTAAGAAATAATGAAGAAAAAAGTCAAACACAGGTGTAGACACTTTCTCCAATGTCAAAGGGATGGGGACCATTATTAATGCAGAATGATAAAGAATAAGTTATATTCTATACTTGTAAAATATGTCAAAATACTCTCTACTGTCATGTATATCTAAAAAGAACAAATAATTAGTAGAAAATTATTTTATTTTCTACTGCATTAAATTTTGACCAAACACAGGAAGTCTTCTATCCTTTTTTTGTTTGTTTGTTTGTTTGTTTTAGCTGGTCAAAGGTCACAGACCTGCTTTTTAACCTACTGTGTACTTTAAGTCAGCTGAATATCTAAAATGAAAAATACACTAAAAAGAATTCTAACCATGATCTTTTCCAAGTCTGTTGTGCAAAGGGCTTAAAGCTTTACTAATTAAAGTAATGCAGGGAACAAGAGCTCTAAGCCTGTCTCATTCTCTGTGTGGAACAAAGTACCAATGTTTCCTGGAAATTGCTAAATTTTGCACAAGCAAGAAACCTACACATACTCGAACGTAGAATTAGTTTCATTTTATTCCAGAGAGCTTCTTCTCTCCTGGTAAAGAAACAGCACAAGGAATGAATCTTAATTGGTCTCATCATCAGAAGTCATAAACTTGGTCTTTATTCATGAAGTCAGACAATTTTTTTAAGTACACTGTGGAAGCAGACAGTAGAATCAGCTTCCTGTGGTACAGACAATTACCTTATATCTAGCTAAAACAAATATCAACTTGAATGATCATCCAAAGTCACTGTTAATCGTACCATTGAATAAAGTTTACCACTGTGTTCTTCTAAAGGAAGTTGTCAAAAATAAGAATTCAATGAACTCCAGGTGAGAAAAATCAAAACAATTCATACTCACTAATGAGTTGTTCATTCATGGCTAACTGATAAGAAGGTGCCCAGCTACAACTGACTCAACGACACTATACTCAAGTCCTACCTGGGAAGTGTGAATTTCCATTAACTAAGGGCAGAGTGAGGCAGACAAGAGCTACTTCTGTAACATTTTAATATCCAAGCAGCATAATAAAAACTGTTCCCAGGGTGATGCATATTCCATTAACCACACTGAATAAAACAGATGTATTATGCATTTTTTTCTTTTCTTTTTGTTTAAGAAGCTTGTTTATCTCCCTTTGACCACTGAAATATACTTTGAAATGATTCCATGTTGATTTTAGTCCAGGAAGCAACAGTAAGAAAGTCACTTATCCAGTAGGAAGTGAGAAACAGGTTGTAGAGTTGCTGTACAGTCCAAGCAACTGCAGCAAGAGAGACAATCATGGTTGTCTTAGGCTTTTCTTCCTTTAGCATAAAGAGGTGTTTCGACCAGCCCACAGCTCTGTGTCACATTTTTACTAGATTGCTACAGATTTCTGGAATCTTTGCTGTTGTTCAATGGCCCACTTATTGGAGCCAAAAATTCTAGATGCTAGAATGGGAACAAACACAGATACATAATAAAACAGGAAACACAAGACAGAACAGATGGATCTAGATAATATATAATCCAGCAGGTTGGTGCTGCAATTATCTCCCTTCTCCACCATCCCTGAGGTGCACATCCCTGAGGTACACTCCTTGAGTGTAAGCCTGAAGGCTTACCTCCCTCCCCTCCCACACAGTGACTGGAGCACTCCCCATTGATACAAAACTTTAAATCAGATACAGCAAGCCACTAAGAAATAGAAAAGCAAGGTTTAAGATTCACTTTAAAAAAGAGAGAGAGAGAGAGAGAGAGAGAGAGAGAAGGATAGGTATTGATAAGACTATTATAATAAACTCCTCAATTACTGTAAAGCCTTCTTAAAAAATGAAAGCCACACTAAATTTGTAAAATTCTATTTAGGCTATAAAATTATTACATAAACTTCTACTCCTCCCTAATTGAATCCTTATAATTTTGGTTGAAAGCCATGGAATCCTAGAATTGATTTTGATAATTATTGGTGACTTATATTGTATGCATGTTATTTAACAAGCTAATAAATCAAAGGCACCATGATTTTGGAAAAACGCATGTGTCTTTGCCAGATTTTTAAAATCACACATAACTCCTGTATCCAATTTATCTCAGAGTACCTACTTAACTTTTAATTTTCATTTAGATGAAAAACAGTTTATTTCTAATATTTAATTTCTAATATGTTTAGCTTAGCTGAATAATTACTAAATAGAGAACCAAGCAGAGGAAAGGCATTCATTCTCCATTTACTAAGCAAAGAAAATATGCATAGATTAAATGAGCACTTTACTGCAGTTACATGCTTCCATATACAAAGACTAACATAGGTCAATTGGCAGCATTTGAAACATGAATCCAGGTGACACTAATCATGACATGACATTTTGATCAGTTTGTGAAATGAGGACATAAAGTGAAAATTATCTTTGGCATTTTTTATTATGATTTAAAACTGAACAAATTTGAAGTTCCACATATTTTTTTTCCAAAAGATTGTTTTCTGATTCCTTACAGGTACCACATTATTGTCATTATTCTGGTGTACTGCTTCCCGTTGCTCATCATGGGTATCACATACACCATCGTTGGGATTACTCTCTGGGGAGGAGAGATCCCAGGAGATACCTGTGACAAGTATCATGAGCAGCTGAAGGCCAAACGAAAGGTACTGTTCTGCATAATTCACCCAGCATTGTGCAAACTGTGGCACATCGGAGACAGGAAAACTTACTCATGGCATTTTAATATAATATGATTTGATATTCTACTTCCACTTTTTAAAATGTCTTCTTTTCCACCGGACATAGTGACACACACCCGTAATCCCAGCAGCTCTAGAGGCTGAGGTATGAGGATCACAATTTTAAAGCCAGCTGCAGCAGTTTAGTGAAGGGCTAAACAACTCAGTGAGACCCTGTCTCTAAATAAAATATTAAAAAGAGCTGGGGATGTAACAGTGGTTGAGTACCCCTGGTAACAAAAGACAAAACAAAAAAAGTCTTCCTTCCTTTGTTTTCCAATATTTTTCTTTTATATTCTGTCTATGTTGTTGTCATTCTGTAAGCCACTGCCCATGTACAGTATCAGAATATTAGTGCCTGATAGAACAAGAGTTACTTCCTTACAGCAATACTCTTTTAAAAAATCACCCTTTGCAGAGTATTCTCATTTATTCTACCAGAAATTGCCAAAATTTCACTTTAAATGGAATCTCAGCTGATTTTATTTAGGCAACTGTAGCTATAATTAACCCTGATTGAACAGAGTGCCTATGATGTACTCAATAATCTTCCAGGAATGACATCTCTCTTAGAAAGTGCTATAATTCCTGGATGTCTATTCCGCCTCCATCTTGCTCCTGATCCAGTCATCATGTATATCTGATTAAGAAACAAGAACTGTATTAGTGCTCTTCTACAATTCATTGATACAAAAAGAGCCTATTTCTGACTATTTCACATTTAGTAAGAAAACACCTAAAACTTAAACAGGATTGATGTTTCACTAAAATTTTTTCAAAGATTTTTTTTCCACCTATCATTGATTCATTGACTCAATGAATGAGATTTGTAAAAAATTGATGAAACTTAAAAGTATCTTATTCCATCATCTTCTTTCCAATTAATGTGTGCCTATTGCATACTGGAGAGGTTTATTTCAAAGATAAATGAACATGTCAATCACTATGTATTTGTTCCATTTATGATTAATTTATTCATGTAAAGCTTCTAACAATCACATGGGCATTTCCTTTAAAAATCTCTCAACAATATTAAAACTAATTAACAACATACACTCACTTAACAATGATCACTCAGGTTTAAAAAATATAATGCAGCAAAAAGATTCCATTTTAATACCATGATTTTTCTTCAAATTATGCTAGACAAAGCTTATGCTACATACATATGTATATGAACGATATGCATGATTTTCTCTTTCAATAAACTAATCTTAAAAATGATGCACACAAACCACCAAATTATGCATTCAACATCTAAAAAGTATTACTGAAAGTAGAACTCCAATAATATGTTCATCTTATCTGAAGTTTCTTTTACCCTTTTGCAATTTCAACCCTTATTTTTAAATATGTTGTTCATATTAAACTATGTTTGGGGTATCAACACATCAAATAATTGATGTAATGTTATATATTTCAGAATAATTTCTGTCTTTGTATTACCTACTTAGTTATCTTTTGTTTCTTATTGGTATAGACCTTTTTTTTGTTCTGCCCCTTTCCCTGTTCACTTCTACACAAATTAAAATAAACCCATGATTATAGATTAAGAGGATTTTTCCCACATACATGTAGTAATTTTCTAGGAAGAAATGAAAACTTAATCTCAGTTCTTTATTTTTGAATTTAGAGTCCCAGAAAAAACAAAACCAAAAGGAAATATATTTTTACTTTGCCCCTGTATAGCCAGTGAGAGTGAAGAATAAATATTCCCTTTTGATTTCATCACCCTACAACTTCAAAGTAAAATATCAACTCAACCTGTGTGACTCTTCTAGAACATTTCAGAAAAGGAGGACACTTAAAGGTTTTGTCCATTTATCTCCCTCTCAAATTGATCTGAGCTGAAATAATGCAAAGTTAAATCCAAGTCAGGGACTTATAAGAAATACCCTTGTCCTTGGATTTCTTGTACACTCTGAAGGCCATCAGTATATGGACTGATTTTGCTCTAAATTTTAAAATTTCAAAATACAAGTAGCTCTTAATTTTTTAAAATAAATTGATACTGTATTTTAATTTTAAACTGACACATAATAATTGTACCCATCTAAAAATCTGAATATTGTTCTGGCATGATTTGAATTACATACATTACTACTACTAATAATATTTTCACATTTTTATGTGATCACAAATAGATGTAAGTCTTACCTTGGACTTACTATTTAATCATAGGCTGTCTAACAGAGACCACAACCTTGATAATACAAACTGGACTTGAGAGATAAATATGGATATGATAGTGCAAATTAAGCATGACTATTGGGAGGAAAAACTCCATAAACAATTATGAGCCATCCTCTTAAAAATAAAAATTGGTAGATATTGATTCTCAAACATACATGTACAAGAATAAATAAATCCACCCCTCAAATTTTACATATATCCTACCTAAGATTATATATTTTTAAAATAATACCACTGCTTGTCGTAAGCACTAGGGAGAAGACTGTTAATTTTGAGTAATATGTTAACATACTTCCATAAATACTTCATCATTAAAACTGTAAAGTTAAACCTGAAAATCAATTTTTAACCTTTAGGGCTCCAAGAACTTTAATAAGATCCAAGAAGCAATCTGTAAAAGTGTTCCAACAATTTAATCATATCTCTAGAACTGGTCTTTTATTGGAGAAAAAGAAATTATAACAATACATTAAGAAACCTTCATGTAATTTACTTTAGTTTTCAAAGCACTTTGTATTCCTCATAACACAACCAAGGGTATCTTTAATTTATAGTACATATCCTGTTTTAAAGTCCTGAATGTTTTGTACCCATTGGCTTTAAATATGTTGTCTATTTAAATGTTTTAAAATAGTGAGTCTCTTTATTATAGCAAAGTAGTTAAATTAAGAATTCCTGTACTTTAAGTAAAAGTATATTCAGCTGGATGCAAAATACAAAATATCAATTAAGGTCATACAATTCTCAAAGACTGGACTAAGGTTTATTCTGTTCTTCAATGGTAGTTGGTTAATAATCATGTCAAAGCTCTCCTTCAGGAAATGTGAACTATTTGGTACATTGCTATAATATTTAATTTGGAAAAATGAAGTTAATACATTTTTATGAACTCTTAAGAGAGACTGCTTTTCTGATATTATGCTGTTTGCTGAGCATGTTTTATTAATCATGATATTCCAGAATGAGAATAATATGCTATCTAGAAAAATACACTGATCCTCTTCTACTTTATTCTTATTATAGAAAAGTCACAGATTTTGACTTCCTATTAAAATCTCTACTATAATTCCATGTGTTAAAAGTATTAAAACTATCTGTGTAAAGTCATAATAATTATACAACAAAACTTGAAACATTATTTCTTAATTTAATGTATTATGTTTTGTCATATGAAAACTTAGATTTTAAATATCTAGTGTTCAATTCACAAGCAAATTTAAAACACATTTTCGTATTTCAGGATGATATATCATGTATAGAATCTAGAATGATGGATCTAAAAAGAATCTAAAACTTCACGACTTCTTTCCTAAAATCATTTGCCTAAAACCAAATGCAGAGTGAGAAGAAAATAAATGCAGATGCTGATTTTATAATTATGATGTTTTGGTAAAGAAATCAGATATACTTTAAATTTTTTCAGTCTTGTTAATATCATTGTTTCCTTAAGTGGTTTTATATAGGAAAAACATATATTTTTCTCAAACTCATTAGTAATGTTCATTATAAGACTTAGCTTTTTATCTATCACTAACTAAATCCATGTAGTTTCAATTTGAAGTCACTCAATTGAAAACAGAGATATGTCATCCATCTTTCCCACATAATTTTTTCATAAATAGAGACTATCTCTTTCCAATTTGAGTGGGGAAAAATGTAGTGGCATTCTCCTATAAATGATTTAAGTTAAGATTCTTGGCAATGACAAAATACATCCCAAAATGTATGTGTGAATGAGTCAGATGAATCCCTGATGGCAACTTGGAGTAACTATCTAGAACATAAATGCTAGAAGGCTGGAGATTAGCAAGATGGGAAGAAAATAAATTATACTAAGTAAAAGATACATGAATTAGATGTAAAACTTAGTTAATGCTTTGATGATCAAATTATTAAATTAATCTATGTAAAAAAGAAGAAATGGTGACTAGGTAGAAATGAACACTCAGAAGAGTTAGATCAAGCTCAATTCATTCATCAAAAATCATTTATTAATAATTCTTATTGTGGAAATGCCACACACAAAATTTATCTTAATTTAGGGAAAATGTCTTTTAGTCTTGTGATATCCTTATGAATCCTGCAAGTTGTGTGGTACTATTGAAGGCAGATACTCCATCTGTTTTGATGAAGTACATCAACATTCAGAGGAAGGACCGTTCACATGCCACAGAGCTCTGCCCTCAGAGTTGCCATGTTGAAGTCTGATCCATCACAAGAATACCAGTTCTGTGATCATGACATAACTAAATGTACAGAGACAGATATTAGGTATCTGATTCATGAACTAGGAAAGCCAGGAGCACAGTGCCATGATCATGATACCATGGCGGTCTTGAAAGGTGTCAAAGTTATTGCCTTACTTAAGTGTGATATTAGACACTTTTCTCTAGCTTTCTTACATCCTATTTTCTCAAACTCATCGAGGTTTGAAGAAAGTTACATTATTATAATTTAAACTAAATTTATAAGTTTTTTAATTTCAATTTTTAATTAAAAAATTTAATTTTGGAATTGAAATTCTATGGTTCTAATACTTAGCATTGTGCCTTCTACAAAGCAGATACTTATTCCATGTTGATATTTCCCTTTTCTTGTGTCATTTTCGTACCTTTTTCCATATGGAGAACCTAAAATTGAATGAGAACTCTCTTTCCCAGACATTAACATCTGATTAATAAGAATTCATTATAATGGCTACAGATTTTAGGATATTTTATACTGACACAGCC